TGCCCCATAGAGAGCATAACGGCTGCAAAGCAAACAAACGGCATGCGAGAGACAGACACGGGGGCTTCCTCCAACGCCCAGACAAGAAGACTCGCTGGTCACCAAGGAAACCTACCACAAATTGTTGCTTGAAAATGCTCATCTGAGCTGCTTTTCATCAGCTGGGGGTTAAAAGGGCACAGGGCAAAGGATGATGATGATGATAGAGAGGGTGAGGACAGAGAGGAGGAGAGTGGCTAGGAATAGCTCCTCCTCACGCCTCGCAGAAATGGAGCAAGAAGTTTTGGTGTTTTCTGCAGTCACCAGATAAAAAAAAAAGCTGTATGTGAGCGATAAGCAAACACATAAACACCACGCTGTGCAGGAAAGACTTGAAGGAAGGTCGACGGGGGCGGAGAGATGAGAAATAAAGCAGAGAGTGGGCTCCAAATCACCATTGGTAGCCTCCAACCTATCCTATATACCAGCTTTCTAAAGAGTGTTCATGTCCAGACTTAAATAATCAGATTTGTCCTTTCTTTTTTTTTTTTAAAACATGTTCAGTGTGGCTTTATGGCAGATATTTCTGCAATGTGATATTGACTATAATCTGACACTCAAAATCGTTTTCTCATACTGCTACCTTTACTTTGCCTTATGCATAGAAATCGCCTAAATCAGATCCAAGACTTTTCCAGCAAGCCCTGCAGTGTCCACAGCCGGGAGCTGCACAACAAATGATGAAAGAAATACGCCGATACGTCAGATTTCAAGCGGAAATCGTCAGCGACTGGTAAGGAAGTCCTTACATAAATCAGCCTTACTAAGCAGGGAGGTTGATCTGAAGGCACGCAGCTGGGAAACTCCTGGAGGAGGTTTAAAACAGACATGATGCTAATGAGCTGCAAATAAGCCCGTTTTATCAAATCTAACTGTTCCAACTGTGACTTTGTTGCTCATTTCCAGCAGCTGTCCTCAGCAGTCATAAACACATGGCCAATCCTCGGTATAAGCAAACTTTATGACTGCTTACAGAAATGATTGATACAAAATTCAAAGCTTATTTACAGGTTTGTGCAGAGTGTGTCATAAGAAACTCAATCACTGTGAACCGGTAAACTAGTTAGCTTTCTAGTTTTGTTAAAAAAGGCATCATTAACTGCTTTATTAGCTGTGATCTCAGTAGCAACCGGGCTTGTCTTTCACTTTCTTATTCAGATGACAAACGGCCTAAGGTGATGTGATGACTGAGATCTTTGGGATTCTGACACATCGCACCGTGTTCATCTGAATTTCAAGTTAACGGCTTTTATTTAGCCTTTAAGGGAAGAGTCATAATTAATAGAGATGAATAATAAAAGGTGGAATGTTGGAAACGTTAAAAACATTAAGACATGTGTAAACCGTCTACTGTTTGTTAAGTAACCAATTTATTGTGACAAGTCAAATTCAAACTACGAACAAACCTCACTGAAAAATTAACCCAGTCCACATTAGATCCAGTCTGTAACCTATGAAACATGTTATTATCATGTTGTCTGCATCTGGTGACGTCACATGAGCCCTAAATCTACTGATCGTTGTTCCTAACAGATCCTTAGCTTCCTTATTTCCTTTTACTCTTCCTAATATGCCTAATAGTTTAAAAAGGCGTTCACTTGTATTCTGCATAACTACAGAAACATACTGTACCCGCTCCTTAGAGGAAACGCCTATTAAACGTGTGCGAGAGCGTGCACGAGCCCATTTTCTCCTCGTGCACGCTCTGTTTAAAAGTTGCTGTTTGCATCACTCATACAAGCTTACGGTACTTTCCAAAAGAACATTTGCAATTCTTCCACTATGTCAGGCTCACCACACGTAAGTAAAAATGGGGACGAGCACATAGGACGGCCTTACTTAAACATATCACCAGAATGATTGACAATGAGGAGGACCACTTATTTTGATGATCCACCTGCAAAAACAAAAAAAATCCTCCTCTGTACCTTTAAGCAAACAGCTAGATTTCTATTAAAATCTGAGAGAAACTAGGTCAATATTCTGCTAATGCAGAAAAAAAAAACTACATTTTTACAATTGTGGAATTTGTTTTCTTTGTTTTTATAAAAAAAAAAATGTTGAAAATGCAGAATTTCTGGTGTTTAAACAAAGAAAGGAATTTAAAATCACAAGTGAACATTTGTTTACACCAAATCTCCTCATCCCACTACTACTACTTCCTGTTGCCTCCTCCATCTATTTCTGTTATTGTGACATCCGGTTGTTGATCATTTGACTCATGTGAAGTGAACAAAGCATGAAAATGTATTTTCTTGCGCAACCTTAAAGTTTATTATGTTTCAACACTATCAAAATGAACAAAATAGGGTGTAGAGCAGTGATTTTTTTTTCTGTTATGGCTTAATAGTGGATTTAAACAGGAGATAATGGCGAATACCAGTGTTCACAAGTGGGAAACTGGGAGACAACCACCTTGGAGATTGTGCCACTTTAACCTAAACTTGGCCTCTAATGGAAAGCCCTGTCAGACATGGCCGGTTCTAGACAGGGAGCCAACAGGGGCCAGTGTCCCAATACAACCAGTCCTAGTCCCTGTACTGAAAACACAGCAGAATCTTTGGTATAAGTCAATTTTTCTTAGAGTGTATTTTCCCTTGATTTAAAGGGGAAATAAACATTGCAGATGGAATAAGATAATTTATGTTAAAACAAGAAAAAACTCCCTCATTTTAGGTGCGTGATATCTAATCATCTTATTTTAAGAGTAGAAATACTCCTTTGGCAGGTCAGCTTATTTACCTGTTCAAATTCACTTAAAATAATTATTTTTAGTGCAATTCTACATCAGTTCCTTATGATGACATGCGCTGACGGAAGAGACCATTACTGATTTGTCCTTTTAACCAATTCAATATTCTACATGGACAATTTCCGCAAAGTTGGAAAGTTGGAAATGACAGTCTTCTTTAAGCTTCAATCGTACTAAGATAGGATCATAGGCTACGTTCACACTGCAGTCTGAAGTGACCCAAATCCAATTTTTTTACCCATATACGACCTCGATCTGATCTTTTTATGGCAGTCTGAACAACACAGATCTGATTTTTTCCAATGTGACCCAGGCCACTTGGCTCGGTGGTCCTGAATCCGATATAAATCTGATCTTTTCAAATGCGACCTGTGTGTGAACGGCCAGGTCGCATTCATCCGACCTGAACACCATTAATACCCGACAAAGGTCACTATTCTGCGTCTTGCTACACAGAAGCAACAGGAAAAGCAACAACCATGGCGGATGATGATGCGGAGAGCATCATCTTGAAAAGATTGAGGTTTTAAGGTTTGGAAACATCGCTAGATGCGCTGCCGCGCTACATCCATGTTTACTTTCGTAAAGACGAAGCACGCTGGCTTGTGACGTCATTGCTTCCTCCACCATGCATGCAGGACACATAAGCTGTATGAATGCATTTCACACAGGAGATCACATACTAATCGCATATATTTGGAAATGCGAATGGCAACGCAAAAAAAATCGGATTTCACAAAAAAATCGGAATTGAGCATCAAAGCCTGCAGTGGGAACGTAGCCATAGTTGAAGTGTTAAACCTTGGCTTTATGGCTAAAAAAATAAGCGAAGGAAATGTACTCTTGCATTCTTGTGCCTTATGTTATTTGTTTTGCTCTGTGCTCCCATAAAATAATTTTTTTTGTATAGAACCACCACTGCTGTCAAAGGTCGTCTGTAGTAGAGGCCTGCGCGGGACAGATTTTCCAGTCCCGTGCCTGCCCGCTCCCGCAACGAATTATGATTTTCAGTCCTGCTCCCGCCCGCACCTGTAATAGTTTGTCCCGCAAGCAATTCCCGCATGATTCCGACGTTCGCCTACTGCTCAAGGCAATTCGTGTCATATGTACGTATGAAATAAAAATATAATAAGTTATAATTAATAATTTTAAACACTGTATGATGGAGCCCCACCCAGCACATGTGATGTATATATATGATAGACATAGACTGATAATTTCTGACTTTATTTTACATTTTAAAACACGTTGTTAGTTTGCGGGACTGCCACTTATCACCACTCCCGCCCCAACACGCACTGAGCTTTCAATATTTGTCCCACGCCGCACTGCTTTGCGTTGGGTCCCGCGAATCGTGCAGGACTCCCGCGGGAGTGCAGGGCTCTAGTCTGTAGCTTCAGCTCTTGTGATTTTTTTTTTTTCACAAACTGGTATTGGAACAACATAATAAATCTGGATAGTATATTTAAAGTATATTTTAATGAATGATCAAAGATGGAGTAAGTTTAAATTGTCAGACAGGGGGCCCACATGAGATCTGGGTCCTCATTCAATCTTGCTCCGGCTCTGCATGAAGCAGCAGCAGACATAATAAGCAACAGTTTGATATTTCAAGCCAAAAAGCATTTCTTGTGCTTGAAAGGGGAGGGAGGTGGAAGTCAGCAGTCTGTGCAGGACCAGCGGCATGCAGCTCCGTCCAGTCCCCAGGCTCCAACAGCTGTGTACGGGCTGCACCAGCGGCAGACACTGGGCGCTTTGTTCCACGCAGGGCAGGCAGATCCGCGGGACCCGTGTCTGTGTGTGCTTTCCTTTCCCTTCAGGAGTAACAGGCCTGCAGCTTCGGTGCGCACAGGTCTCCCCTCTGTCTCTACTCAAACAGTCGGCCTCAGTGGGACAGGGCGGCACAGCCAGGCAGGGGGGAGTGGAAAATTTAGACTGAGCCAAAGCTGTCCGAATCGGAAAGCGCGTCTCACTTTCGCTTCTTCTTGTGTTAAAATTAACGTCAAACTAATATATATATATATATATAAATATGTATGTTTTTTGAAAAGCAGTAATGTCTGAGTGAGCTTCCAGACAACAAAACCCCCGAAGCTCCGTGTGTGAGGAGGAAGCAGAGCGCAGCGCATAATCACGGTTAACTCAGAGAAATGACACAACGTGGCTCCGGCTGGAGCATTAAAACGCACCAATGGGAGCTGATACTTACTGAGAGGAACCGGTGCTGCTCGGTCCACAGGAGTTACAGCCAGACAGCTGGCGGTCTTCCGGGACTGTTGTGCCGGGGAGTGAGATCGGAGCTATGGAGACTGGGAAGCTGAGAGCTGAAAGGAATGAACGTAAACTGTGGGCTGCGTCATTTCACCAGGATGCCACTAATGCGCGGCGCGCAGCAGCGCAGCCATCTTACCCCACCGACCCACCAATCACTGCTGGCAGCGGGGGCCAGCAGTGACGGAGCGGAGGGCTGGATCACATCAAATGCGGTGTTCCATTTCCAGTTACCTTGCTTTTTAATTCATGCAGAAATTACTCACATTTGTATAGAAACCTATATTCCGTTTGCAGGATTTTTTTAACACGTTAAATGTTAACCTACGGATACGGAAGAGGATTAGGGCCACTGAAAAAAAAAGTTAGCTGATTTTTAAATTTTATTTCAGTTAAAATTCTGAGAAAAAAGTCAGAATTCTAAGAAAATGTCAGAATTCTGACTTTTTTCTCAGAATTTTAACTGAAATAAAATTTAAAAATCAGCTAACTTTTTTTCAATCTCAGAATTCTGACTTTTTTCTCCGAATTCTGACTTTTTCCCCATATTAAACGGAAATAAAATGTAAAAATCAGTTAACTTTTTTTTTTCAGTGGCCTTAATCATCTTCCGTATTAACCTCGTTTTTTTCTAAATAATTAGTTCGCAAAACTAAACTTGCAACCCATAAAACCCCATAAACGTTTCACATAAGTATGGAGGGCCAAAAGTGCCTAAATTTTGTGCCACATATTCCTTAAAATTATTGCTTTAAGTTTTTGTTTGGCAGTTAAAAAAAAAACATGAGGGAATTATTGAATAAAATACATAATCCATTATTTATTTCCATAAATTTCAAAGTAGTCATATATTCACTCTAGGAGCCAATTATTTTTTGTAAATAATTAACAAAGTTTTTTGTTTTTGTGCTTAATCTAGTTTATTTTTACTTTATTGTTTGATATCTGTTATGAGATTATGTTTTTTTGGATATTTAGTCATGTTCCTTTGTTTTTGGTTAGTTATGATTAATTGGGTGAATTATTTTTTATAAATAGGCTGTCAATGGTAGGATCAGCATGCATCTGAGTGGATGTATGTTGTTTTTGTTTTTTTACCAGCGCAAGAGAAACATGAAGGAAACGTTTGTCTTTTTCTGTTTGCTTGCCTGAGGAGAAAATAAACTGAGAAAATTAAAGGAGTTTACCCGGAATATTTTTTCTTTTGCCTGCGTAAAATTATTCCATGGTGCATCTGTGGCCTTTGTGGATTTCCACTTTTTTTTTTTTCTTCAAGCTAGGCCACAACATTCACTGAACCGGGAGGATACCCGGGACACGCTGGAGGAATAATGGTTATGCCCGAATGTCCGCACTAACCACTTTAGGGCACTATTTAGTTGTCACACCACTTTAGGTGAGTGTCCGAATGTTTAGCAGATAAAGAAGTAGTGGACTCGAAATTTCCCACAATGCACCTCGAAAAGTAGTGATCATCCATGGTGCCTAGACGAGCAGATATGTCCCAGAAAGCTTTTATGGAGAGCCCTCCTCACAAAGCATCATGGGATTTGTTGTCGCCTATGGCTGTTGCTATCAGACAGCAGTGACAAATAACGGGACCATGTGGGGAGGTGGAGTTACGTGACCAACTGAGCAAAAAGCAGTGATCATCTGTCCAAACGGTCAGTTAACTGAGCTCACTATAAAGTCCACTATATAGTCCTCCCTCTATATAGTAGTTGTAGGATTTAGGGGTTAGGACGGACATTCGGACACACCCTATGTTTCTCAGGTGGCCTGGATACACCTTGGGATTCCTCGGGAGGAGCTGGCCCAAGTGGCTTGGGAGAGGGACGTCCGTTTTAGTCAGGGTTAACTATGGGATGGTAACAGTGAGGGAAGAGTGTGGGTTTGGCTTTAGAAAGGAATGCAAACTGAATAGAAGTCAAGGTAAAGTTGCAGTAATGATAGCAAGACCTACAGTGTGTTTTTAAGGAGCACTGCACAGGTATTGCAACCCCAATATTGTGTATTGGGGTTGCATTTTAAATACTGGGTTATTCTTGTATGACCAAAACATAGTTTACTTAACACACAGTGAAGCCTGTTCCTAGTGCATGAATAAACTCCAGAAGGGCTACCCCTTGTCACCAGTCCTGTCGGTGATGTTTATGGACAGGATCTCAAGGCCTTGTTGTATAGAGCAGGGGTCTGGTTTGGAAAACTCAGGATGTCAGTTTTGCTATTTTGCAGATGGTGTGGTTCTGTTGGATTCATCAGGCTTTCAGGATGGACTGGAGCAACTGGAACAAGAGCTGGTTCCTCCGAGTCTGAGGCAATGGTCCTCAACTGGAAAAGGGTAGAATGCCTCCTCTGGGTTGTGCCAAGTGGAGGACTTACCAGTTCATCTATGTTCCCTCATCAGTGGTCACAAAGTATGACTATTGTCTAAAGAACACGACCCATGTGGGCCGCTGACTGGACCGGACCGGGCATTCCTCCCGCCTGCGTTACCGTGCTACTGGTGTCCAGGCCACTGTCACTGGGTTGGTTTGGTCGCTCCATCACTAGCACAACTAGCCCCAGAGCTCACGGCTCGGTTCTGCTTCACTGTAGTCGACCAAAATCCCGGACGACTTTTAAATCCCCCCCGGACATTTTTTAGGTATGAAAAAAGTAGGACATGTCCGGGAAAAAGAGGACGTCTGGTCACCCTACCATATCAACAATTTGATGTTTCAGTAAGTGAGTGTTTGTTGCTATGATGCGTCTTTGCTTAGCAGCTTCGCTCGTTGTAAACCAACCAATCAGCGCACAGCTCATCTAAATGTTCATGAGCGTACCATAAACAGAAGAAAAGCTGTCGTTTCATTCTGGGACTAACAACCAGGCTTGCATTAGGGCTCATAGAACAGCAAATATGCCATTTTCAGGCCTACCAATGTTACACACCCTCTTCAGAGACCTTAAGTACCAGTACCAAAATACACTGTATAATCAATCTATGACCCCTTTAAGAAAAAAACACCATTAATGATTTAGAATCCAATTTGATGGAAAAACAGATTGCAGTGTATGAAGACGTACCAATTACATGTGGCCATGATGTGGGGTGGACTGCTCACAATTCTCTGCAGTTGTGTAGTTGTAGGTCCAACACAGGTAGACCAGGGGTCTACTTGGACCTACAAAGACACAACCTGGGTTGGATCTATGAAGCACTTTGGCAGGAACGTCATGAGCCTGACAGGAAGATACACAGTGGTAAAGTGAAACACATCTGCTTTGGGGAAAATACATAGAATTACGTGGTAAACCAGTCAGGTTCGTACACAAACATATTGTACACATCTTGTGCGTATAAAGCAAGCATGGCTGAATGGGACATAGAGAATCAATGAAACATTTCAGTAAATTAATTCATGGTAGGAGCTTAGAAATAGAGAAGACCCAAAGTAAAAAAAAGTGATCTTCTTTAAGCTTGATAGAGAGACAACTGTCATTAAAAGCCTTGGTTGTTTATGTTGTAAAATGGCCAGTACATAATCACATTAATACTCAATCATACCAGTTGGATGGTCCATAAAAGGAGACTACAGAGCCAGTATCAGGAAAAATGGACTGAATATGGTAGAGGCAGATGCAAGGGGTGTTGCACCCTTTAGCAATAAAATTATGAGTTGTGTCATCCAGGGAGAGCTCAAAATAGAACCTGCTTCATCCATTCCAAGGCAGTTGTGTGCACAGACTTTTTGAGAAATAAAGGGCACATATAGCATGTCCCCACAAATGTAGAGGGTACTTTAGCTTGCATTTTGACTCCTAATAGGGCACTTTAGCACAGACAGTTAGCATGTGTTTTGGATCCAAAGGAGCATTTTTGGGTCCCAAGACAGCAAATGGGCCACAAGGCCCGGGGGGCGACCGCCCTCTGCCGCCTGTTCCTGTGCATGTCATGGTTCAAAGGAGTACATTTAGGAGGTCAGAGCATCTGATTAGGCACCTACATTTGGAGATAAACCAGTCATACCATTGGAAGGAATACCTAGAGGAAGACCCAGCCATTCAAAATTTCAACACTTTCGTTGATGGGCCCTTGGCTGGTCCCCAGCAAATCCTTTTTAAACATCAATCTTTGCACTAAAATATTCTGTCATGATTTGTGGACATTAAGATCTAAAGAGAATTATTATTTACTTGATACAGAGGATAAAGTAAGTATTGAACACGGCACCAGAAGTGGAAAGAACATCGTTTCACCATAAACCGAAAAAGCATGTTGAAGTTTGTTTAAAGTTTGCTGCACAACATTTAGACAAGTCTGTGAAATACTGGGAGAATATAGTCTGGACAGATGAGACCAAAACCGAACTCTTTGGAAGCCATAATACACATGTTTGGAGGTGAAATGGCACCGTATGTCACCTCAACAACACCACACCAACAGTGAAGTTTAGTGGTGGGAACATCATGGCATGGGGTTGTTTTCAGTATATGGTACTGGCAAACTTCAAATAATTGAAGGAAGGATGAATGGAAAAATGTACAGAGACAGTCTTGATAAAAACCTGCTGCCATCTACAAGGATGATGAAGATGAAACATGGGTGGACATTTCAGCAAGACAATACCCCAAACACACAGCCAATGAAACACTTAATTGGTTTCCAAGAAAGAAAATACAGCTGCTAAAATGGCCCTATGGAAAGAACTAAAGATTGGAGTTTATATAAGAGGTCCAAGAAATATTTAAGACTTGAAGAATGTTTGTGTGGAAGAATGGGCCAAAATCACACCTGAGCAATGCATGCAACTAAGTTCACACATGAGATGCCTTGAAGCTGTCATTGCCAACAAAGGCTTTTGTACAAAGTAAGAAATGATTTTCAGTAAAAGTGTTCAATACTTTTTTACTTGTGCCATTTTACTTAATTACACATAACTTAATTTCTGGACATGTATGGTTTGATTTTTGTTGTACGTGTGGATTGCATGGATTGTTACAGACATCTTTTAAAAATATGTCAATAGCACCTCTAGATTATATATTTACTGAGCGTTTAATACTTTTTTACCCGCTGTACATTATATATTTAATTAATTATAATATATATAATATATATTTAATTAATTATAATACACTGCAGTAGCAAGTTAATCAGTGTAACTGAATAACTACTGAATTTC